GAGTGATGGTGCACAGCAGTAATAGTCGCGCTTCTAAACTGCTGAGATGCAGTTTTCAGGGATCGGGAAGAAATTCTAATCGCCAGTTCCTTTGATCAAGGAATTTACTCCAAGTTGCTTCGGTGCAATAGGCGAAGGAACGGAGCAAGTCACTTGCGACTAATAGGCAATGTTTTCTGATGCGATCGCCTTTGCGGGTTGTAACTCATCATGACCTTCCTGAGAGCTGATCATCCAATGTGATAGTTAGTACAATGTTGTGTAAGCCCCGAAAAATAATTACCTGCCTGCGGCGTGGGATGTGACTTGGTGATAAGTGTTAAGTTTTAAACTTGAGATAGTTTCAACTACGTAAGGCGGTCAATCTATTGAACTTCGATATGCGCGTTTTTTAGTCTTAACGATATCGACATCCTTAAAAAATAATCAGGTTATTTATTAAAGTTCCCCTGATACTTTTCGAAGTAATAGGTGTTCTTCAAAAAATGATTTCATGGGGATCTAGGTGCTGCTGTTTCTTTTCGTATAGTTTACAAATATTGGTTTATTCAAATGCATCTTTTCATTTATTTGAACAGTTCATTTCAGATTTAGGGAATGCGCAGTCATTGTTGAATCCGGAGTAAGATCCGGCACGATTTAGCATTTCAAGATGGCGAGTCATGGTAAATTCCTGTTGTCATCCCCTTGTTAGAGGAAGAGCTCTGTTTTTGTTCCGGGGTTATCACTGTTCTTATTGGCTTTTGAATAGTTTTTATATTGTGGCAAGGTTGAAAGTATGGTGACGAGTTTGTAACGGGAGATGCTCGTGAGTTCAAACAGCAGCTCTTTGTTATTACAAAGATGTCGAAATGAACGGTACGAAAGTCGATCGGATGTTATGGCTCTTCCTACAATGCTCGTTTCCGAATCGTCACGATACAGAAATTACATTATGTTCTGTCTTAAAATTGTAGCTGCTCAAAGCTAGTCAGGTATGCATAATTTCTTTCTCTATGCCCTTCCAGCCTATAGAAAGTTTTCTTGTTTGAGTTGTGAAAAGGCCCCATCCCTAAGAAATGTTTTTTTGTGCACTTAATGTAGTATGTGTCAAACAGCGATGCACTATCGTTCACCGAAACGGGTGACCACGCCAAATATGGTCAAGCAACTCTTTACCTCCAACAGTGGCCGCCGCCATAGCTTTTTATTACTTGAGTACAATCTTGGAAGGCCATCGATGGCACTATAGTTGACAGATGTGCCGAAC